CAGGAATTCTGAGAAACCCTGCACCTGAGGACAATAGGAAAAGCTGGGCAAAATATAAAAACATCTAGGTAAAAGCTTTAGATTTGGGCAGCATCAGAGGAACATGGGGATCAGGGAAATACTCGTAAACCAGGCTTTAGAATCTTCCCCGCTTTACCCCGCCACCCCTGGCAGCATTTTCAGATTTTGCTGATTCCACAAAGGTACCTAAAAGGCTAGGAGGGGCTCAGGGCTGCTTTTTAAAATTTTTGAGATATAATTTGCTAAACCATAAAAGTTACCATGTTGGTGTTTAAAATTCGAAGGTTTTCACATTTATAGAATTTTGCAACCATCACTACCATCTAAACCATCACTACCATCTAATTTTAGAGCACATTCATCACCCCAAAAGGTAATCTCATACCCATTAGCAGTCACTTCCTATCGCCCCCACCCCCAACTCCTGGAACATATAATGTAGTTTCTCTTTCTTTGGATTGGCTATTCTGGACAGACAGAATCACACGTGGTCTTTTGCGACTAAATAATTTCACTTGACATAATATTTTCAGTTCATCCATGTTGTATCAGTCCTTCATTCCTTTGTGTTGTCAAATAATATTCCATTGCAGGCTATATCTCATTTTGTTTGTCCACTCATCAGTTCACCGACATATGGATTTCTCTATTTGGGGCTATTCTCATTAATACTGTACGAAATTTGTGCAAAAGTTTTTGTGTGGACATGTGTTTTCAATTCTTTTGGGTATCAACCTAGGAGTAGAATGGCTGGGTCATATGGTAACTCCATGTTTAACATCCTGAAGAACTGCCAGACTGTTTTCCAAAGTAACCCCACCATTTTCCAATCCCAGCAGCAACGTATAAAGGTTCCAATGTCTCCACATCCTTGACAACGCTTTTATTATGTCTTTTTAATTTTAGCCAATCTAGTGTGTGTGAGGTGGTATCTCATTGTGTGTATGTTTTTAAATTAGAGACTTTGTTTTAGATCAGTTTTAAGCCTACAAAAAATTGAGGGGACAGTACAGAGTTCCCAATAACCTACACACATACCGTTTCCCCTATTGTTACCAGATTACATTGGTGTTACATCGTTAAACTTGGTGAACAAATATGGATACATTACCTGGAGTCCATAGTTTATATTAGGGTTCACTCTTTGTGTTGTATATTCTAAGGGCTTTGACAAATGCACAATGACAGGTATCTACCATTACAGTATCATACACAATAGTTTTACAGCCTTAAAAATCCCCCGTGCTACATCTATGAGTATTTATCTTCTCCTTCCTCACCCTCTCCAAACCCTGGTAACCACTGATGTTTTTACTGTATGCAGTTTTGCCTTTTCCACAATGTCATATAGTTGGAATCAGTATGAAGCTGTTTCAGATTGGCTTCTTCTACCTTATTAACATGCATTTGAAGTTCCTCCATGTCTTTTCATGACTTGATAGCTCATTTCATTTTAGCACTGAATAAAATTCCACTGTCTGGATGTACCAGTTTATTTTTCCTTTCACCTACTGAAGGACATCTTGGTTGCTTCCAGGTTTTGGAAGTTATGGATAAAGCTACTGTATACATCTTTGTGCATGTTTTTGTATGAACCTTTTTTTAACTCCTTTGGGTAACTATTAAGGAGTGCAACTGCTGGATCTTATGGTAGGAATACATTTAGTTTTGTAAGAAACTGGAAAATTGTTTCCAAAGTAACTGCACCATTTTGCATTCCCAACAGCAATGAGTGCGAGTTTCTGTTGCTCCACATCATCAGCAGCATTTGGTGTTGTCAGTGAGTGTTCTGGATTTTGGCCATTCTAACAGGTATGTAGTGGTATCTCATTATTGTTTTAATTTGAAACTCCCTAATGTTATATTTGGTACCTTTTCATATGCTTATTTTACCATCTGTATATCTTCTTTGGGGAGATGTCTGTTCAGGTCTTTTCCCCATCTTTTAATCAGGTTGCTTGTTTTCTTAAGTTTTAAGAGTTCTTTGTATATTTTGGGTAATAGTCCTGTATCAGATATATGTTTTGTAAATATTTTCTCCCACCCTGTAGTTTTTTTATTCTTAATGTCTTTCATAGAGCAGAAATTTTTCGTTAAGTCCAGCTTACCAATTCTTTCATGTATCACGCTTTTTTGTATCTAAAAAGTCATCACCAAACCCAAGGTCATCTAGATTTTCTCCTATGCTATCTTTTAGAAGTTTTATAGTTCTTATTTTATTTTATTTTTTATTATGAAATANAAAAAAAAAAATCTTAAAAAAATGTAAATGGTTTAAACATTCTAATAAAAAGACAGAGCTTAGCAGAATAGATAAAAACACATGATCCAACTATATGCTGTCTACAAGAGACTCACTTAAATCCAAAGAAATAAATAGATTGAACATGCAAGAATGGAAAAAGATATTTCATTAAATAGTAATAAAAAGAGAGCAGGGGGTGGCTACGGTAGTATCAAACAAAATAGACTTTAAATAAAAAATGGTTATAAGAGACAAAGAGGGACGTTATACATTAATAAAAGGTTCAATACTGCAAGATATAACAATTACACAGCTAATAACAGGCCATCAAAAATCGAAATATATGAAGCAAAAACTCACAGAATTGAAGGGAGAATCATTAGAGAAATGCAAATCAAAACTATAGTGAAATACCACCTCATACCTATTAGGATGGCTAAAATGAAAAAACACAAACAATTAAAAACACAAACAAAAAACCCAACCCAGGAAACAAGTGTTGACAAGTATGTGGGGAAATTGGGACCCTTGTACACTGTTAGTGGGAATGTAAAATGGTACATCTACTCTAGAAAACAGTATGGCAGCTCCTCAAAAAATTAAAAATAGACTTATAAAGAGGATCAAGCAATTCCACTACTGGATATACATCCTAAAAAACTGAAAGCAGAGTCTCAAAAAGATATCGGTACACCCGTGTTCATAGCAGCATTATTCACAACAGCCAAAACATGGAAGCAACCCAAGTGTCCATCAACAGATGAATGGATAAGGAAAATGTGGTATATACATACAATGGAATACTATTCAGCCTTGAAAGAGGAGGAAATTCCACAATATACAACAACATGGATGAACTTCGAGGATACTAGGCTAAGTGAAGTAAGCCAGTCACAAAAAAACAAATACTGTATGATTCCACTTACATAAGGTAACTAGAGCAGTCAAAAGCAGACACAGAAAGTAGAATAGTAGCTGAGGGGAGGGGAGAATGGGAAGTCATTGTTTAATGGGGATAGTTTCAGTTTTGCAAGATGAAAATAACTATGGAGATGGATGGTGGTGATGATTCACATTTTAAGAGATAACTCTCCACCCCAATCTCTTCCCGATTCTGCTAAGAGGGAAGTGAAGGTGGAACTAAAAAGCAGAAAGAACCCCTACTCTTACACATTCTACGGCTGCCTGCAACTTCTGATGTCAAAGGCAAGACCTTGGTCCACTCCCTTCCTGCTCTAGGGTCAAACACTAGTCATGACAAGTTTAGTCCTATGTCATCATAGCCACAGCCAGAGCAATACTGGCCCCAGCATGAATTAACCACAACTGAGTTCAGTCTTCTTAAATAAAACTCAGGACAAATAACGCATGAACTTTCAACATCTGGTGATTTACTCATCATGAGGGATAAAGTTAGTCCAGAATATAGTTGGGTTTTGATTTTCACACTTGAGTGGAAACACTAGCACGCAGACTCACGTTAGGTTTCAGTTGACATCCAAGTAGAGGCCATGCAGGCAGCTGGAGATGTGGTGGAGAAGCTGAGATGAACGGTATGGACTAGAGCGGTGGTTCCCAATGTGTGCGCTGGGGTCCCATCTTTCCCCACCTAGGAGTCTCTGAGACACTTTAGGGAGTCCACAAGGTCAAAACTATTTTTATACTACTACTACTACTACTACTACTACTACTACTACTACTACTACTACTACATTATTTGCCATGTTCACTCTAATTCTCATATTCATAAATATACAGAATTTTCCAGAGAGTAAATGTGTGACATCGCAACAGACTAAATGTAGAATATTTACTTGTGCTTTGCTAACCCAAACGTTAAAGCCAGCTACAAAAATATAAAACAATGGCACTCTTTGCACTAAACATTTTGGAAGTAATAATCTCTAATTAAAAGTGTTATGTATGTTATTAACATGCACTGAGTTTGTTATTTTTCTTACTTTTTTGTTGAGGTGTCATTGACAACATTAGTTTCAGGTGCACAACGTAGTTATTCAGTATTTGTATATGTTGTGAAATGATCACGATGTGTCACCAAACACAGTTACAGTTTTTTTATGATGAAAACTTTTAAGATCTACTCTAATAACTTTCAAATATGCAATACAGTATTAACCACAGTTGCCATACTGTACATTTAATTACATCCTTATGATTTATTTTATAATTGGAAGTTTGTTCCTTTTGAACCCCTTCACCCATGTCACCCACCTCCCCACAACTGGCCTCTGGAAACCAACCACCAATCTGTTCTCTCTATCCATAAACTTGGTTTTATTGTTTTTTAGATTCCACATATAAATAAGATCACACAGTATTTGTCTTTGTCTTTGAGTTATTTCATTTACATAATGCCCTCAAGGTCCATCCATGTTATTGCAAATAGCAAGATCTCATTCTTTTTTAGGCCTGAATAATATTCTAGTGTGTGTGTGTATGTGTGTGTCTGTGTGTGTCTGTTTGTGTGTGTATCCATATACATATATATACAGAGGGTGCCCCCAAAATGTATACACATTTTAAGAAAGGAAACAACAGTATTAAAATTGTAATAATATATACCGACAACAAAAGATGAATACAAGTCATGTGTATACAATTTTTTGGCAC